CTGCGTGAAGAATTGCTGCGTGTGCACAACGTAAACGAGAACAGATGGTGTGTGTAGAGGCGTTTATTTTACAAAAATGATACTTTGGAAAATAACTTTATCACACATGGTTGAATTTGTATTAAAATAATCTTTAATTTAGTCACAAAAAATTTAAAAATTTTAAAAAAATGTGAAGTAGTGGGGGAAACATTAAAAAAAAATTTTTTTATTACTATCATAAAATACACTTCAAGCCATTTAACTTTAATTAAGAACACTTTTTCTATCTCTCATAGTTTCGACGAAATTTGATCGGAAGAAAAAAAAAGATTTTTTCAAGGGGTGATTTTATTTCTTCAAAACGGAACAGAACACCAACAAAAAATAGTTTCGTACTATGGATAAACTGCTCTACTTTTACACAATGTTTCAGATTTTTCTAGATTTTCGGGTTCCCTAACTTTCCTTGTGAGATATAAGCAATTCAAATAAATTGCATTTTTTATACGTGTCGCCTATGGCTACAATGTTAATGAAAATGTCGCGTTTATTTTTGAAGGGTCTAAATTAGCAGTGATATGTTAATAAAAAATGAGCATGCAATGAAGGGACATGAAATGAATATTGTGGAAAAGTTCATAAATTTTTACCGGTCAGTTTGGAAAATAGAGCCTTGAATAAAATGTAATTTTTCATTTTGATTGACATATGGAGGTGAGTGAAGGAGATGGCCAGTCGAGCTGCGTTAGTCTGCATCTATCTGAATTAATTTTTTTTCCGCATGTACGTGCGACCTATGGACAGGTGCAATCAAATGTTTTCTGTCACTGGTCGGAGTGAAAATATTGCCACCGAGCGCGCGATGGGACCTAACTTTTGAATGATATTGTCACGAGTGTGCAGTCATGGACATATCGATTGTGACACTTTTTTTTAATATGTTTTTAAACGCATTAATATTTTGCAAATGTGAACCATGATTAGTGTATTGTCTCTAGTATTTCTCTGTATTTCTTGATTGCTATGCTGAACAATATTCAATGCAAATAAAATAAAATATTACGAAACAATTGATTCTCAAGACTTTTCTTTATTGCTACATCACTGGACTACATTAAAACTTATGTAAAAAAAACTCATTATCTAAACAATTCCCCTCACATTTCTTTATTTTTTAATAAATATTCTTCAACTAATCTTTTTATAAATCTTTTACAAATAGAAATATATACACGAGATGACTGTTAAGATCAAGTCAAGGATGATTGCTTGTGTTCTGATATTTTGATTGCCGGAACTGAAAATCAATAGTGTATGTAATTAATTATACATTTTCAGTATTGGGACAGTATATATAGGAACACAGTCTATGAGTCGATTAATTTTACTTGAGGAACCGTCACCCTTATATATACCTATCTAAAAATTATCCTACAATTTTAGTGTTATAATGGTTGCGTTCAGCAGAAAAGCGACTTTAGAACTGTTGTAAAATTCTTTTATATGATAATTAGTTTATACATATATATACATATACATATTATACATATGTATATTTAAATTTATGAAGAATTAAAAGCAAGAATTAATGCAGTTGCAAAGCTGCTTTCTCTGCTAAATGCAGCCAATATTTGAGTATTACTATTTCAGGATAAGTACAATGTAAATTGCATGAGAAGTACGTGCATTAACAAGTCATAGATCTTTGTAATGCACTAATATAAAAAAGATTTCAAGTCAGAACATTTTAATATTTTAAAATATAACGTACAAAATCTTTGTGCAAAATTTATAAGTTATCCTGATACTGCTCTTTACTAATTATCTTTTAATATAGAGTAAACATATCGCGTAAACGTCTTCTCTGTTTTCTGTGTTGAAGTCTTTCACAGTACGAAAAGCTATATTCACGTCATTTACTTCGATAGTATCCTTCGCCCTTTTTACTTTAATAATGAGAGATTCCAATGGTTCTTCACTGAAAAACATTTTCAATTTCTTTGAATTCTGTAATTTTTTAAATTAATTAATATGTACAAAGTGTTGATAGTATTACTACCTACTATTCTACTATATAAATTTTGAATGATTTCTTTTGACATCCTACATGTATTATTTTTACTTATATACATACACAAATATTTATTTTTCCTAATCAATAGGTCTGTTTTCTATACCTGAATTACTGTACACTCTTCACACTTGAAACTAAAATGAAATATGTATATTCGGCAAAAGCGAGAAAGGAGTTCTAATGCAGTTCAGTGCTGAAATAGAAAACAGACCTTATATTACCACATAGGAATTGTTACACTTTTCAAAAATCTTAAGCATTAATTTTAAGCATTATAAAATTGATTAAAGACTATTTTATTTTGTAACACGAAGCTTACAATTAATATTATAACCATATTAGTGTAAATTGTGATGAGATCTATTCTTTGTACCCTCTGAATTTGAATCTATATCTAGATAGACGTATTATTTACGTGCTGAATTCATTTGGAGAAAAAATATCGAGTGTTGTAATTTTATTTAATTTGAATAAAAGATGATTAAGGCGGATACAGACTTGTTGCGCAACTGCAAAATTTTGATATAATGATGGGACGCAGTATGCAGCATGCAGTATCAGTACGTTAATCTCTCTACTGAAATTGACATATATCACAGTATTACTAATCAATCATAAGGATCATAATCGTAATAAGGAATTCATTGATAAAGCTCTGTGGATAAAGAGATAAGGAATTCCGTGATAACTGATAACATTGACTATAATTACATGAAAAAAATGGTAATAATATGAGTAATATTATCTACAAATAATGTTTGTTAACTGTTAATCAATATTACATCACTTATATCATTGTATCACTTGTATCATATAGATACAACACATAAATTTTAAACATATAATAATATTGTACTCTGTGTTTAATAAAACATTACAATATTAAATTCACCAATAAAAACATATAATTTCGGATTCTATAACTAAGAAGAATACATTTATATACCACAAAATATAGATTGAAAAAACTTTATTCACAAAATACAGTTTTAAACAAATTTATGAAAAAGATTAGATTATTAATCTGTGTAAATGATTCCATAAAAAACGTATATTACTTAATATGTAAATTTATTAAAGTAATTTATACTCTTGACACAAATGCATTAATTTTAAGAGTACCTTACTAAAAGAGATCAAATATTTCAGTTGTTCATATTTCTTTCTTGAAACACGCCAATATCTAAAAAGATACAGAAAGATTTCTTTTATAAATATAAATAACATAATATATAATTATATAATAATTTTTATATAATTATTACTAAATATTTTATTGCTATGTGCATATAATCAAAATATAGGTATTAAATGTAGAAATAATTAAAAATTCCATTTGAATTACCATTTTCCGCGGATGTTTCTATCGGAAAAACAGATGGTTTCAATAGGCGCATCAGTACAACATGATTATGAGCAGTTTCTATTTCATGTACAGTATTTTCTAATAGCTCCGTTAAAAGTGTTTCGTCCTTCACGATTGACTTATCAGCTATTAAAGACAGTTGTAAATTGCCTCCGTAACTAAACAGAGATAGGCCAAGAGCAGTAGTACTTCTGGAAACGAATTGTGATGCATCTACACATTTACATCGTTACAATGCACAATAATTTTATTTGTTATAAAGAAAAGATAGATACGATACTTGTTTGGTATCCAGAAAGCAATGTTGCTCAAAGAGTTATTCAAAATACGAACTTTTTCCGGTCCGCGCATATTGCTAAATGCCATCGTGCTGTGACTTAAAAGAGAAGCCTTCAACATTTTCACCGGCAGTAGCGCGGATAGATACTTCATGAACCAATAATTAAGCAAAATGTCTGAACTCTTTCTGAGCTCATTATTTGCTCTTGTAATATCTTGAAGACGCTTAAAAAATTGAGAATCCTGACTTGACTCGATTGTTTGCCCGTTCACATTAGAGATACAAATTCGCAAGAGTGCAATCGAAAACTTGTTATCTAATGTTAAATTTTCGTCAGGCATTGCCATTCTTATTGGCAAGATAGCTGTTAACGTATCGGGAACTGTTTTCTGGATCTACGATAATATAACGATAAGAAAATTTAAGCTAGTAATTGACAAATAAGTTTAAACGCAGATTGACGCAAACTAACTGTGTAAAAAATCTTTCCATTTCTTAGATATTATTTAAACATATTTCAGAATCAAATTCTTTAGACTTATTATTTGTTGCATGAGAAGTTTATACATACTTATACATACTTACGCGTAAATGGTATTTGTATACACTAGCGGAAAAAGCTGCCAATATTACATCTTCAAATTTGGCACCTGTATTTTTTCTTATTTCGCGAATTTTCATCAAAAGATTCAATGATTTTTCATTCGTCACGTTATCTAGCCGGTAAAACATTATCTTTTCACCCGTTTGAGGTGGACCATGCAGAGCGCTGTAAAAACATATACATTTATTATAACAAAACTTATATACTTTAAAACGATACTGTGTATACACTATTAAGGGAAATTAAAGCATCACACTTCGAAAAATAAGTAAATTTTAGTTGTGTAATTTTGTCAAAAATAATCGGAATGAGATGTTCCAAAAATCATTTCGAAACTTGAACGAATTACGTACGTTTCTATTGAACTCGATCTATTCTGGTCAAAAAGGAAGAGCATCAAAGTTCAACAAAATCAAGATGAAACGATTTTTTTATGTTCTTCGAATTAAGTTACTTGCGTATGTACGATGAAATAACAGGAGTATTTTAAAGATAATACTTTAAACTTTTTTTTTTAGCGAACGTTATTCCGTCTGAGCAATTAAAGTTAAAAATATGCTTTTTGTTTCAATGCCAAATAGCTCGGTGAAAAAAAATTGCATGACAACAAGTACGCAAATTAAAACTAAACATTCATACTTTCGGAAGCTTTAAATAATATTTATATCCGACTTCTTATTATGGCATTACACTTTGCAAAGTTTGTAACAAATTTTGAGATTTAATGGCTCTCCATTTGTATCTGTGTAGCTCTATAAAAAATTCAGTCAAATTAAAAGTATAGATCTGAAAAGTAGAGATTTCAAACTTCAAAATGTTTTTCGGAATATCTCTTTTTAATTTTTTATTCTCAAATTTACTCATTTTTCTCAAATTTACATTCACATAAAATTTAAATTTTTTCGAAGTGTGTTAAAGTGTAGTTGCTTTAATTTCGGCTGGTAGCATATAAAAAAGGCAGATATATTAAATATATTTAATTAAAATTTATTTCTCATAAAATCATGAAATTTTAATCATTGAAAGCAGAGATTTTAAACATATTTCTATTTCTTTGCTTTTTTTCAGGCATTCAATTTAATAGAAATATAAAAATCTCTTTATTCATCTATTTTTAATAGAATGGAAAAAAACTTTTTTAATTCAATGGATTAAATTCTGAACGTACTTTTCGTCCATGCTACGAACAGCTTGTTGAACGAAGAATTTTGGAAAAGAAAGTAAAGCCATCGTTAGTCGCGTGACCTCTTTAATTCTTCCGTACAGTTGTTTCAGTACGATAACTTTGAAACTCAACGATATACGCTCGATCGACATTTTTGCTTGCTGTCTCAACGACTCGATTGTTACATTATTGAGAAGCTTTGACGACGCACGGAAATGATTTCGTAAGTCTTGCACAATTCGTGAGAACGTTACGTAAGTAAATGGCATCGATGCAGCAAGAATATTCTTTTCATAGAATCGCACAACATCCGTCCCGTGCTGGAAACTCCTCTGCGAATTGTGCAACGCCGGGACGATCTCTTTGAAACGTTCTTCAGTCTCGTCTGACGAGGCGATGCTCTTGATCTTCACTCTCGCCTCTTTCCTGTCACCCCCGTCCTCCTCTGCGATCGTTTTGAGTAATAGGCCCAGAAGGGCCACTCCATCGCCCAGGGAATGATGAACGCGAAATAACACGGGAATTTTTCGGATGTCGGTATTGAAGCACTCCTCGGGACACAAGCGGCCCTCTTCGACGTGAGATCTGGACCTCGGGCATCGTCGTCCGACGAGAATCTCCCACGCGGCCCGGTGATCTTCGGGCAACGGTCTATTGCACACATTTTCCAAGGTCTTTCTGAAGGACTCGCTGGAGATATCCTCGCAGGACCCGTCGCAGTTGGCGTTTACACATTCCAGCCATCTGATCCTGTCTTTAAGGTCCACTTTCTCGCTTCTCTCCCAAAAATAGTAGCCGAATTTCTGGCTTCGAAGGTAGAACAGTTTCTCAAGCGTCGTGCCAGCGGCCTTCGAAACAATGCGTTCGTTTATCAGATTTCTGAAAGCCTCTAGGAAGATCGCGTTTGAGTCCCGCGCGGCCTTCTCCAGTATCATCAAGATGTTGACAACGGATAGAGAAACGTCCTCAACGGCCCATACGCAATCCGCGCCTTTCAAAAGACCGGCGAACTTGCTCCGCAACTGGATTCTTAACGCGATCTCGACCGAACGGCGATAAATGTATAAAAAGATTAGAGCGATCACGATGAGAGGTGCGAGCAGGAAGACGCAAGCAGTTCCCAATAATTCCCACAATCTCCGACGCGTAATTCCATTAAAAATGACCGAGTTTGATTCTTCTGGTTGCATCTTTCATGTATATAAGATTTAAAAAATTGTTGATTAATTTTAAATGCACCTATTTTAGTTTTTTTTTTTTATTATTTCACTGACGTCGAAATCTAAAGTAATTCCCGAAGTATTTAATTTCTTAAGCTGAATTTAATAAAATTTCACTCAGTGAGAAATGATCAATTAGACAACAAATCGATGTCGATGAGTCACTGATTCTTGTTGTATCTGAAAAGAAATTCTTTGGAAGAAAAAATTTTAATCAAAATGTATATTTTCAAATTAATATATTTCCCGGTATTAAATAATTTAATAAGATCTTATTGTTAAATTGCAACTTACAGTTCTTATCTCATTCGTTTTTCTAGGAATCTGGGACACATTGTACCGCGGAGACCAGCGAATACGTTATTTATATAGGGAAGCCACAGATGTTTCGTCTGTTTTCGCAATCAGATTGTGACTAAATCCCTTAATTGTCTTATTTTTTTACCGACGCAATATTTGCCTCTGCCAGGCATTACAGCATTTCTCTTCAACACGCATTCGTTTAATACTCAAACGGTTCTTCTAACTAGTCATACATTTTACTTTATTCAAAAATTTTATTTTGTTTTTAGAAATAATAATTTACATTATATTTTTTGACATTATTATATAGCATATCTTGCAAGTTCTAAGTTTTATTCGTCAAAATCCAGCATCTTCTGCAAATTTTTTCAGTGTTCCTTTTAGAATTTATAACGCTCTCTGCGATGAGCCTCTGATGCAAAATATCAATCTACAATATATAAGTATATAGAACATATTATTATTACATAAAAATCAGATAGTGAGCAAATCCAAGAGAATAACAATGCATTGCCTAGGTGATTACTTATTACAAAATGCGTAGTTTGACACACAAAAACTTAATTAATTTGACGCGCAAATTAATATTCGGCATATTAAAACTATGCGCGCGCGTATTACGAAAAAAAAGAATAATTTTACATATATCTCGCTTCCACGGTTTTGCAACGGCAGTGACTGCAATGACATTTCTTAAATGTAAATATCCAGAATTGTCGCAACTATTTGTTGCAATATTTCATAAGGCACGTATAGGGGAAAAATAAAAACACTTTAGTATAATAGAATTCTGTTTGTCCGCGTTTTATAGACTGTATATCCGTCAGAATTTGATCACGTGACTTCAACATGAAATACCGCAGAAATTGAGCAGTTTCCAAATCCTGTGAACACTTTAGGGTAACTTTTAATTTACGGACAGTATTCGGATTGATGAACGCGGATTCGGTTGTTGTCGCGATGTATCTTTCCCAGGGCTTTTCTACGTGCGTTACGTTTAACATTGTGACATGATCGACTTGTATTTATTGTGCAGTATTTATCGTGCGTTTTATTTTTACTAATCACTTTATCAATACTTGATTTGAGTCATTTATCGATATTCACTTAACGAAATCAAAAATCAGTTCAGTTTATTCATCATTCAACTAAATCACAATTGGATCGTTTTTGAGATTTCCACAATAACAAGTGTAATCCTGAGCAATTGATAATTAATAATAATATGACGATAATAATATGATGATAATAATATGAATTGATAATAATATGACAATTGAATCATCGATAAAATAAACGGTCGTTGAGCCTTGAGTGTACTCGAACGGCAGTGACTCAAACAGTAGGCGTCGCCTCAGAAATCAGCCCGAAATATGCATCTAGTGTCGAGCATTGGTCCAGATTGTTGAGCCGAATCTCCAGCCGAACTTCGAGCTGCGCGGCGGAGTATTTCGGTGAGCATTTAATTGTCTTTTGCGTGACAAATGCTCGCCAAAATATTTACGGCTCGATAATCTAATTATCTGAATACATCAATTTACTTGATATGACTTATTTCCGACTTATATTTCTCGACTTATTCTAATCTCAAGTATAGGTACCTCTTTCTGTTTCTGTTTCATCGCGCAATCCATAGCGATAATTTTTCTTTTCAATTGCTCATTTTGAGATAACAGAGTATCGTATCTGAAATTTAATCAAAATATAAATCGTATAATTAATGGTGTAATAGTAAGGGAAATTACTTCTGATGCCATGTCTTTTGCACTTGTCTCCTTAGATTTTCCGGCAGTATGTCGAGAGAACCGAGCTGTATGTCCGTGACGCTTTGTCGAAATAAATCTAAAGAGCGTTCTTCCGAACAGATTACGAGCTAAATGAGCGGCATCGAACAGAAATTTTACTCACTTAACATCTGTTTGTTACGCGTTTTAATCTTTCTCAGGTCGTCCGTCAAAATTTTATCGCGTGACTTTAACGTAGAATACTGTAGAAATCGAGCAGCTTCTAAATCCCGTGAACACTTTAGGGTACCTTCTAATTTATGGATGGTATCGCGGATTCGGTTAATTGTGGCGACGTATCTTTCACTGCAGGGCTTTTCTACGTGCGTTACGTTCAACATTCTTCCAATCATGACGTGATTGACTTGACTTGATTGTCAGTAGAAAGGACAGAACACAGAAAAAACGTATAGAGCTCGTTTTCGTTGACAAGATCACTTTATTTAGCCTCTGTACTTTTCGTCGCTATGACAAACAAAATGCAATTAAAATTAAATATTACGGAACAATTGATTTGCAGGCCTGTTCTTTATCGCTACATCACTGAAGTACATTAAAACTTATTTAAAAAAAAGACTCATTATCTAAACAATTCCCCTCATTTCTTTATTCTCCCATAAATATTCTTCAATTAATATTTTTATAAATCTTTTATAAATAGAAATATATACACGGGATGACTAGATAAGTTAAGATCAAATCTAGGATAGTTGCTTACGTATTCCGATATTTTTATTGCCGATACTGAAAATCCATAGTAAAAAAAAATGAAAATAATTTTTGTTAGAGCACCATCAAAATAATTTTGTTCGAAAGTTAAATCCGTATTATGCGTCACCATAAACTAAAGATTTTCAGTATTGGCACAATGTATATCTAAACACAGCCTATGAGTCGATTGTTTTACATGAGGAACCATCACCTTCATATATATCTATCTAAAAATTATCCTAAAAAATTTTTTTCATTTTTATAATGGTTGCATTCAGCAAAAAAAGCTTTGCAACTGTTGTAAAATTCTGTAATATGATTGGTTTGTACATTTAGATCCATGAAGAATTAAGAGCAAGAATCAATCATGTTGAAAAATCTCATAACTGCAGTTGCAAAGTTACTTTCTCTGCTGAACGCAACCAATATCTGAGTATTACTATTTTAGGATAAGTACAGTGTAAACTGCACGTGTAGAAATACGTGCATCAACAGACCTTTGTAACGCACAAATATAAAAAAGATTTTAAGTTAACGCATTTTTACATTTTAAAACACAACGTACAAAATCTTTGTGCAGAATTCGTAAGTTATCCTGACATTGCTCTTTGGTATCTTTTAATACGTTGAGTAACTGTTCCCTGTTTTCCGTGTTAAAGCCTTTCATAGTACGGAAAGCTATATTCACGTCTCTTTCTTCGATAATATCCTTCACTCTTCTTACTTTGGTAATGAGAGATTCCAATGGTTCCTCACTAAAAAAAATTTTTAATTTCCTTGAATTCTATAATTTTCCTTAAGATACATATAAAGTTTTGAAAGTGTACTATCTACTATATAAATATTGAATGATTTCTTTTAAAATCCTATAAATATCTTAATTATTTTTACTTATATACACGGAAAGAACGATTTTGCTGGAAGATAAAAAAATTTGAAAATAACTTAATTAAATAAATTACAGCACCATCAAAATAATTTTGTTTGAAAGTCAAACTGATTGCTAGAATATCAAAACTTTTTACAGCAATGCTTATTATTTTTGAGTTTTCCAGAAAATATTTTGATGGTGTTCTAATAAAAATTATTTTCAAATTTTTTTTAGATCTTCCAGTAAAATCATTCTTTCCGTGTACATATACAAATATTTAAATATTAATAAATTTGTTTTTTCCAATCAATGAGTCTGTTTCTATACTTGAACTAATTGTATACTCTTTGCGCTTATAATATCATATAAGTATCTACTTTTCAAAAATCTCAAGCGTTAATCTTGAACGTTATAAAAATAATTAAAGACTATTTTATTTTGTAACATGTACGATGTTTATAATTAGCATTATATCCATGTTAGCATAAATTGTGATGGACTCACGATTGATTCTGTTCTTTCAGGATCTCTGAACACTCGTTGTACACCGACAAGTTTGCCAAACCATCCACAAACTGGGATCGAGAAAGATAGTTTTGAAACAGTTCGTTGCCCTTCTCGTCAGTTAAAGTATTATTTACATTGTCAGTTATTCTATCTAGATCTTTACTTGTCAAATTACTGCTCTTTATAAGAGCCATCATCAGTTGTATCAAACACATCTTCCAGCCTGAAAAGAATTGTAAATCGAGTTATTTGTGTATTTTTTCAACGTGAGATCGAGACATCAAATTTAGCATGCAAATAAATAAGGAATATAACAAAAAAAATACTATGAAAAGAAGATAAAGTTTGGTAGCAATCGGTCGACTTTCCCAACCGAATCGAATACCGAAAATTATATCGGCACTTGACGTTCACAGTACAATATAATTATAGAAGTCTCTTTTGCATCGATGAGAAGGAAAGATGCACGACACCTGTATGCTGTCTCATCGAGCAACATATCGATGCATTTATTATTGATAAAACTGAAATAATTTTAGATCTCTTCTATATATTTTCATACCTTTATCACAAAAAATCCTTAATTACTCCGATATTGAATGCAAGATGTCGGTATATATAAGCCGAAATTCTCAATCTTCGACGTTATATCTTCGATGTTCAGTTAAAACTAGCTACGTGCCAACTAAATCGAACTGAATGTCGTATATCCATAGGGTGCTAAACAATTGTCGCATTCTGAGTTTAGGTCTTTACCAGACCTCCGTTACCAGACGCAACTTTGACTTGCACATGCTTAAAGGCAAAGAAAACAGCTGAGTTGACGTCAAACCGGCCGACCACCGACGCTTTCGTATACGCTCAATTCGAAGTCAGTGTGCCGGGAACGCTTGTGAATCAGATAACCCCGCCCGAATGATAAGAGATAATGCGAGCACTCCGCTTTACAATACTCCTCCAACATGTGTTCTGCGCAGATTCACATTGCACGCGACATTCGACATTTAATCGAAAAACAAATCTCGGAATTTTGCGCACACGGTTCTCATCAAGTCAAAGGAAATTAACGTCTACATCCTTGAATGGTAAACTCAATTCTTCTCCACGGAACTTTCTCTCAGCCGCATTCTCAATAAACCTCAATCTAACTCACTTAAACATCGCAGCTTATTGGCCGCGGCAAAGCGGCCGGAGCAGTCCAGAGCCAATCGGAATGGTTTTTGGCTTTCACGCATCGAGTGATTCATGAGATTTTCCGTCATTCCATGCTGCTCCATTCTCATTCATCCCACTGTGATCATTCGCAAATCGCACGTCGAATCTGGAGCTGATCCCGAGATTCCCGAGCCCCCAAATGCTCCGATTCGATCTCCGCCGAAGGCTAGCGATGAACGCTTATCTCGAAGCGTAGCTACGAGTGTAGCTTATCACGGTGTAATGTAGCGAGTTATTAATATCTTCGTGTCCGCTCGTTTTGCTCACTCGTCATGATGTCGACGACCAAGGTGATTCTTTTAATAAATCGCATCTTTGCTTCAAAAGTGACACGACTAAAAAAAAAATTAAGTGTCCAGGATTTTGATAAGGATAATGTTTATCTAACTCATTCTGTCGTAAATAACTCGATAATCATATTTTCTTTGAGTTGTGTCATTTTTGGAGCAAGAATGCAAAGAGACATAGGTATAGTGTTTTATCTCAAATTCACGCAGCGAAGCTGAATAATGTAATATTTCAAATAATATAAATATATAATTAGATGTGTAAAATAATAATAATAATCATAAAATTTTACGATTGCATTTGGTGAGAGTCGAGAATCATATAAACGAACGTATATTCATCTTATTGTTTTTTTTACTTAATACATGGTTAATCTAAGGATTATAAGATTTTGCTGATTATTCTTTTAATTTTCGATAATAAGATATTCGTCTGACGATCCTTTTAATAGTAACATCGACGAATAAAGCTTCTGATTGCAAGTGGTGAAAGTGAGAGAATCATATATATACCCATTTTATGCTTAATAAATATTTTTTTAAATGTTATAACAGCGATCGATATATTCTCTTTATCATTTTCATAATAATTTTCGGTAATGGTATTGTGTTGCTTATTTCAGAGCGAAGACAGCAAGGACGATAATCTAAACAGGCAAGGCTCGTTCAGGAAGCTTGTGCCGGGTAGCAGTAATGGAGATTCCCCATTGAGCATGTCTGTGAAAATGATCGATCGGCCGATCGTGTCGCAAACCAACAAGCAGCACGCTATTTTCTTGCAGGAGTACCAAATTCTTTCCGAGTAGTAAGTAGTTCAGTACAGTGCTAGCGCGGATGTATATGTAAAGAGAGCTGATTTTCTTTTTGTTATGACGTTTTACAGCAAGATGTTGTGCTCCCAAGACTTGAAGGGGATTTACGTGATACCATCCGCTGTGAACTCTTTTCGTAAGTATATTGCTAATGATTGTACAAGCTAAGTATTCAGTGTATTCGCGATTCGGCATGCAATTTTCCGTGATAACTTATAATCTGTGACATTAATGCATTGAGAAACCTAACACACTGGAACAAATTTAGTGCCGTTCCGTAATTTGCATGTGGAACAAATGCCCTTTGTACTTTGCTTCCTCGTTCGCATACTGCGTTCCCTCTTATCGAAATGCTATAGTATATTTGATAGGTGTAAACCTATTTTATAGGTCTTGCTCGTCCCGATTACGACTTGTATAATGGTTTCTGATGTAAATATATATCCATATCTCTTGCCTGTTTCACTTTAACGTACGTTAAACTGGCGATCGCGAGAGGTTCTAATAACGCGCTGTATTCGCATTTTGTCGCAGTGTGGTTTGGTGTACAGTTCATTCGGCAAGGGATCTATAAAGGCGGAGTTTTTAGATTCACCGTTACACTGCCACCGAACTTCCCCGTTGGAGATTGCCCTGTAAGGACACCTGACTCGCAGGTACGATCGCGACCTTACGCGCAGCTTTCTGACTTAAAAATGTGTTTTAGAAAGTTGTGTTCGAAACTCAAATCTTCCATCCACTGATAAATCCAGAAAACGGACAATTGTGCACGTCGTGGGGATTTCCCGAATGGAGAAGGAGCAACAGAATTTGGCAATTATTACAGTATATCACTAAGATATTTATTAAACCAGACACGAAGATGACTCCAGTGAACGAGGAAGCGTCCAGCTTGTAAGTATACTTATTTTTCAAGGAAACGTGAAAGATATGTAATCGTCTAGGACGTCTACATGTGTGAATGGATCGGTTACATTGCAGGCAGGAAAATAATATTGAAGCTTTCCGAGAACGTGTGAAAGCGTGCGTAAAGGAGAGCGTGAATCAAGTGTTTAATTCACCTACCATGGATGATCCGCATTATATTACGTTCAATCCGTACGTAAACGAACTACACGATCCCACTAAACGAGAAATCTACGAACCAAAAGTAAATAAGTATTTAAAATGTATCGCTCATTACGATAAAAATACATTCAATTTTTATACACTTATGTCCATTTCCAATGTAGATTAACTTTAATCTCCGATTAACTTACCCTTTATCTTTTTCTAAAATCGGAAAGAGATAAAGAGTACGTTAGATCGATTAATGTTAATGTTAATCTACATTCGTAGAAACGGGCGTAATCTCGGTTTAACTTACTCTTTATTTTTTTATAAAATCAAAAAGTTAGATCGATTAATGTAAATTAATCTACATTCGTAAAAATGAGCATAAATTAATTTATCATATTTCGCAGGACGAAGAAGAAAACAAGCCGTTGGGTTTGTCGTGGGTGCAACCCGGTTCGCTTCAACCATTTTCAAAACCAGAAGCGAGATAATGAAGGGATTCTAAATGCTGGCAATACAGTGAAACAACATACGTCCTTAAGAGCTGTACAAAGAAATTGTTGCTCTCTCTCTCTCTTGACAATCGCGTGATGCCGATAAAGTCACAAAACTTATTGGAAGAGCTATTTTTCTATTTTCAGAGAGTATTTGTGTCTTAACATTTTATATGGCTCTATAATATGTGTTAAAGAGAGAGAATGTTTAGAACAAATTATAATATACTCTTGTAATTAAATTAAGACATAGATTATTGATATAATTGTTCAGAAATATGGAAAATTTTATTATACAATTTTTATTTTAATACATATATTAGTAGTGTCTCAATTTCTTTGCTTGATAAATGATTATATGACAAACCCATTATTGCTCAAATAATGCATGCTCTTATATTAAATTAAGACATAGATTGATAACAATGTATTCGGAAATACTGAAAATTTTATTAGATACCTGCAATTTTTATTTTAATATAATCAGTAATGTATTTTATTTCTTTGCTCGATAAATGATTATGACAAACCCATTGTTGCTCAGATAATGCATACGGTTTTCATATATGTAATTAATATTGAAATTACGAACAAAAAGAAGTGTATGATATTTCATATTTTAAATTATTGAATTATTGCAGTCTACCTGCGAAATCTAATAGAGCCCTTTCAGACTAAGCGTCATTTTACGGCGGCAGCCTGGAAGCAAAGGGAACCGTCTTGAGAATGCCTAAATTGGACTGCTCACGCCGCCTCGTCGCATCGGCATTATAGGATTCATAGGGACCCGGCTTTATACCGTGGGTAGAGGCAGAGAGAAATCTGAGAGAGGACACGGCCTTTTGCATGTTACTTCAAAATGCCCTCGTACACTAATACCCCCTGAAGAAGGGGATGTAAACTACATAGCAACATTCACTTTTTTGCACTGCGGGTATACAATTTGTGGTGGGTGTTCGTGCTACATCCACCTTTCGAGAGCTCCACTGCTGGGACTTTATTCTCGAAAAATTGCGCATTCGAAAAAATCATGTCCTATCTTAGATTACGAATATTTCCGGCGAGTAACACAGACTTTGTTCCGTATCATGTATATTATTTGGTTGTATTCCATGCTATGAGTACAAAATATAACTGTGTAATAATAATGCTAAAGTTTTATCTTGGATATTTCTTGATAAAAGCCTAAAAGTATAAATCTTTTTAAATACAATTTTATACTGGCACCTCTTTTTAATTTATTATATTATATTATATTATATTACTTAAACTTATTTTCTTATACGAACAATTTAATCTTAATTTAAGAATTCAAAATTTAATAAAAATGCGAGCTTGAAGTGAAACATGAAGAACGTACGTGTTTATATGTATGTACATACATACAATTACATATGTAAGAATACTTAATTGTATGTGTGCATATGTATGAGAGAGATGTGTATTTTCATAAAACGGAAAATAAATCTTATATTATTCAACTTATATCAAAGAGTATTTCAAATTATCTCCTTATACTTTCTTAATCTTCAATCAATCACGGCAGCTTTCTAGAATATCGAATTTTGGCCTTTTATATAAATTATTATATTATCTTATATAAATTGAACAAATTAAAAATTTCTAAAAAAGAAATTTTCTATTATCGAAGACTCGCAGGAAACATACACACATGTGTGCCTTTTATTATTATCTCTAGTAAATTAAGCAAACTAAAAATTTCTAAAAAAGCAATTTCCTACCGTCGAAAACTTGCAAAAAGCATACATGCGTACGTTCTATTATTGTCTTGTAAAATAAGCAAACTAATGATTTCTAAAAAAGCAACTTCCAACCGTCAAAGACTAAATTACTTTCTTTTTAATAATGAATTAATCAAGAAAATTCCTTTTTTTTTTATCCAGTCGTTTTGGAAGAAAAAAAAACAATGGCTGTGCTACTATTTAATTTCTGTGCTATGTGTGCAAAATATAAATATGTGTATTAATAATTAATGATAAAGTTATCTTGGATATTTTTTGATAAAAGACTAAAAGTATAAATCTTTTCAAATGCAATTTTTTACTGGCATTTCTTTTTAATTCATTATATTATATTATATTATATTACTTAAACTTAATATTTTCTTATACAATCAATGTGTGTGTGTGTGTGCGTGCGTGTGTGTGTGTGTGTGAGTTTGTTTTCAATTTAAGTTTAGAATTCAAAATTTAATAAAAACACGAATTCGAAGTGAACACGATAAACGTACATACGTGTATATATATACATAAAATAAAATATATGAGAATGCCCCGGCCGTTAGCGCGCCGCGACCGTCGAGCCGCGGGAAATAATGCCGGGATATTAATTCTCTTGTATTGAATTTTGAACGGAATAATCACGCCGAGAATAAACATATCATATGTATATTATACTGCGTGCTCTTCGAAAATAACAAGTGACGACAATACCGTAGAAACAGAGATCAATCCACACATCACTTATTATACGTATAATTTAATTTTGAACGAGAGCCCCCCAGCAGTCTCGAAAGGTGGGACGTAGCACGGACACCCACCACAAATTGCATACCTGCGGTGCAGAAAAGTGAACGTTGCTACGTAGTTTACATCCACTTCTTCAGGTGGCGTTAGTGCACGAGGTTACATGTCCTCTCTCAGGACTCTCGGAAGTCTCAGGTTTCTCTCTGGTGGGGGGTGGAGGGTCTCTCTCCTCTCTGAAAAAATCGCGGTCGTCGACGACTGGACTCTCGACGAGGAGAGGAAAAATAACATACATGGCACGATAGGGGCCCGTGGTGTTGGAGAGCCGTAACTTGTGCAACGATCTCGCAAGCTCGCGGCCGTCAAGCGGCACGTCCTTCCCGTGGATCTCGCGTCCGCCAACGACACGCCCGGGAGCCGCATCCGCCGCGCCGTTCGGGATTATGAGCTGCGTACGGCGGTCTTAACCTTTGATGACAGCCCCGCGTAACCAGGTAATAACGTACTCCGCCGTACTCTGGGAATTCGCGCGCGTGCGAGGGGCGAGGGGACCTCGAGGCCGCGTTGCGTCGCACCGCGAAAGGGTCGCCCGGCGTCCCGCAGCCGGAGAATCTTGGCCACCCGCGCCGCGGGTATACCACCTATGGGGTTAGGTTAGGTTAAGGACGGAATATCCTAATCGACGGGAAGGGCTTCTGAATGCCGCGGCAATTGTTGCGCGACGTTATTATCAGTATTGTTTTGCAATGATTTTGCTGACTTTCCGCCAAAATCTTATTACTACTCGTGTTTATTACTCTTGTGTTTGTCATATAGATTGTGGACGTATGCTACTGATAAGAAGATTATTATGCAATTTATTTATTAATTTATGTAGATTATGCGCGTGCATTATTGATAAGGAAATTATCGTGCGCGGTATTACGGGGGAAATAGAGGCTGCTCAATTGAACAATATGGAATAAACAGGACACTCGATGTAGCATTGAGTTTGATTTCAATCGATTAGGATATTTGTTTTGCTTTTGTATGTATGCTTCTTCTTCTTCTTCTTCTTTAAATTATGGCTCCGCCCTGAGGTAGGGTCGATACAGCCAGGATCATGACTCGAATGATGCAATACTAAAACTTGATAGAATACTAAAGCGGAAATAGAATACTCGGCCACGGACGTCCACCTCAGTCCGTGGCTCGCACAAGAATCCCTTGTATGTATGCTGAAACTTATGAGTTCATTGCATCGATCACCCCTTGACATGAACAGTTATGGGCTATGGGTTTTCAATTACATACGTGTGGGTATTGTGTTTCAGGTCACATAAACAGCATCAAAATGCAGACGATAAAGTGTGTTGTCGTAGGCGACGGAGCGGTCGGTAAAACGTGTCTCTTGATTTCGTACACTACGAACAAGTTCCCTTCGGAATATGTGCCTACTGTTTTTGACAACTATGCAGTAACTGTGATGATAGGAGGTGATCCATATACATTAGGATTATTTGATACAGCAGGTAATAGGTTTTCCTTTTTCAATTTATTCTACCTTATATGGCGGCTCATTCTACATAACGTTTCGTAACTCGATTTTACTTTTTGTCTCTCAGGTCAGGAAGATTATGACAGATTGCGTCCTCTAAGTTATCCTCAGACCGACGTGTTTCTCGTGTGCTTCTCAGTTGTGTCGCCGTCGTCGTTCGAAAATGTAAAAGAAAAGGTAATGTATCTGTTTCATTACGTATTTTGTATTCGAGCTGTCAATTGATGTTCTGCTGTGACAACATATTGTTTTGTAGTGGGTGCCAGAAATAACGCATCACTGTCAGAGAACTCCATTTTTACTCGTCGGAACGCAAATCGATTTGAGAGATGACGTCGCGACAATAGAGAAACTCGCGAAGAACAAACAGAAGCCGATATCTGGCGAGCAGGGGGAAAAACTCGCCAAGGAGCTCAAGGCTGTAAAATATGTAGAGTGCAGTGCTCTGACACAGGTGAATAAATCGCAGTAATTTTCGTTTTAACTGAAGGCTCCCGTCTATAAAATGTTATACAAATGTGCCACATTTTTAGTAGACAGTTTTTCAATTTAAAATTTTAGATAGAACATGCTAAAATATAATTTTATAATCAAATCTATGAATGGCTATATTTAATGAAATGAAGGAGAATAATATTTTTTATTATATTATTTCTAAATAATGTATCATATAATATAGAGTTATGATTTTTTTTTTCACATTAGAAAGGATTGAAGAACGTATTCGACGAAGCTATTTTAGCCGCATTGGAGCCGCCCGAGCCAGTGAAGAAGAGGAAATGCACGCTTCTGTAAGGTGACAAAGTATTGCCATCGATGAGACGCATGCCGGATTTCAAAACGACGCTGTAATACCAGACGACGGTCTTGTGTGTGTGTGTGTAGTATATTCCGTATTAAATAGAACTAAATTTGCCTCTACACGAATTCGTAATCGTATTCGGAAAGGATAAGCAAACCGTGCAGACGCTAGGGCGGCTGCGTACACATTCCACGAGGCATTGAGGCGTGCGATAATGACTTCTGAGTTTGTAAAGCCGGATAAAACTTTTCTATCAAATAATAACCACTGGTTTTATTTGTTATTTTTTTATTTTTTATTTTTTTCGAGAAAAGTTACTGCACAAAGCTTTCATTTTTCCAATACGACTTTCGAGGGAAGAGGCGATTGGGGGAGAGCGCGGCCGGAGATGTTCAGATAAAATCGTTCTAAAATCGTTGACTTTTTGACGTTTACACTTGATAGGAACGGAGACGGAGAAACAAATAGAGATTGGTGCTATCGTTCAACAATATTTTTTTAAGTCGAAACGTTTACCGCGGTATATAGGTATCCGAGTCGCGTCGGTATCCGACACGAGTACTCGTTTCAGTGATGGGGTGCTCAAGTATCTCTCGCTGAAGCGACGACGAAGCGTTTGTTTCGTAATACGTATTAAGAGTGAAATTTCCTTTCTCGGCGACGTCAGTATTAGGAGCTCTATGGCGAATGTATAAGTATCGTAGCAGTATCACTTAGATATACTATCGATTGCATGTGACACAAAAAGACTATTACTAATTCTAACAGTCCGTCTACTGTAAAGTATCTTTATTGATATTGGAGGCGCTTACCGCATTTTCGACACCGCAGAACTCATCTGAATACTCTTCTGTGCAATTCCACGACGAAAAGTCGTCGCAGAGAGTAGCCTCATCACTTGCCCTGTCCAAAGTGTGTTTTTGTCGCAAAAGCTCCTCTAATATCAATAACAAATCTTCGGATCACGTCTTTTGAAACTACACACGGCAGCTGTTTTTGACTTGAGGGGAAAGCTTTTGAGAAAATCGACCAATTTTTTTGTACGTCTTTGAACGCTGTTTTTTCCTACTATAGCGAAGTATTTTCAGCAACTTTATCTCTAATAAATCAGAATTAAAGAGCTTCTAAAACCAATGTTAGAACCTCCCTTCCATCCCGCTGCACTGCGTTTGGTACGTGTGATGAAAAGCTTTAAGACTGTTGAAACGATCGCACGGAGGAAGGTGGTAACAGAGAAGGACGATTGCCTGCGATAGGGAGAATAAGGATAGCTTAGGGACTGACACGGCGCGCCGTGTCAATTTTGGACAACGTAAACAATATTTAAGATCCCCTCTTAAGATTGTATACGTGTAATACTTTCCATTATCACGATTGCTGCATGCAATGAATTTATGAATTTACGATTCAGTCCCGGCGGCATGCGACCGGCTGATCTTTTGTAACTGTCGCATATCGTTAGTACTAATAACACGTTACGAATGCTCGTCGCGATGCATTCGGTATATGAACGTTGAATGGAGAGAAGAAGGGGGAGGGGGATGTTGCGAGAGAAAGCATTTTATCAAAAAAAAAAAGGTTTAATCAACTTTTACACTACGAATCCAGTTAAAAATAACAGCATTTATTAGCACTGTAATGTGTCGTAATATGTAGACATGATTATGTAACGAAATATTCGCATAAATATATTTATATCATGTACACGACGCCCGATTGTTCTTTATTCGTTAAGACCCGTTAAGTTATCCGATTCATTGTATTAGCGCGTCATTCTTACCTTATCATATAAAAAAAAACCGAATTATTTTAGAAGAATGATGGTGAAAAATATGACTTATTTGTATAAGTAAAATTCATTAATTAATAAGTTAATAAAATTCCGCTATACTTCACGACAAGATGGAATTAAATAACAGATCGTGCGAGTCAAATAAGATAATTGTGAACGATATTGCATCTTCAATAAATATGAATATATCTCTCATATGTATTTAGAATTTTACACGGTCTTCAATATTCTTTTTTACCGACAATTTATGAAAATATATTCATATTTTATTCAGAGGATATTACATATTCCAGAAAATTTGATATTAGACATTCGACGAAAGACGTTAATTATTCGTTACATAAAATCTGAACGTTCGATTTTCTATCTGAAATTTATGCGAGATCCTTCAATTAATTACATTCTAGAAAATACTGGAATTAGAATAGCGTGTCAGGACGAGACACTTCAGGTCGCACACGCATTAATATACTGGCGAAATTATTACGATTGAAATATTAATTGTGCGTCAAAATAAGCGAAAAATTCGAACGTGTCTTATTATTATCTTATATTCATTGATGATCCATAAGAAGTGCGCGATAATGTAGGCTTAATTATTTTTACTTCCAGTTCGGCGTACTGTATGTCTTATTTGAATCGTCTAATCACATATTATAGTCATTTTCGGAAATCGCACACAATCGATCCGCATTCTTCACACATGTTTTTTCGAGATCGAATTCTGCAAACGATCAAGAATGTCGAATCAAACGATGGACGTTACGTTGGAAAATATCAGATACTGCGATCTTTATTTTTATTCCAATGAACTTTGATTATAACAAGCATACACAGTTTCATATCCAGGCTGTATTCTCGAAATTCACTGCCAGCGTTGAAAATCTATATATAGTGCACGTAAATTATAAATTTTCAATGCTGATAGTGAATTTTTATGAACGCAACTCCAGTCCAAAAATTCTGTACTTTCTATAATTGTACATACTCATCTGGATGAAACCGAATGCTCGATTTAGTGTCTTAAATTTACGAAAGTTTGAGTAATCGTGTTTAAAAAAAATTAATAATTAATTTAGAATAGATCGACAATATCTCATTGCGACGTAGATATTATATTTGAAGTTGCATCAATTATTTTAAAACTCTTTAATTAATCGTGAATCAAGGAATATTCGAATTATAGAATAAATCGCCAGTTTTATACGATGTAGTACAGAAAACACATTTGAAATTGCATCCACACGCTCGTGCAATCGTGATAATCTCAATTATTAAACATATGCCATTATATTACGATCGAAATTAAAATTATATTAAAATTATATTAAAATTCGCGACACAAATAACTGATCGCGTTTTATTATACTATTACAGTATAGAAATATACTTCCAATACACAGATAAGAAACTGTGACTGTTTTCGCGTCCTATTATTTTATTTTCTCTATGTTTCGTTTGATTCGCATATTATAGTCACGTGTCGCGGTGATCTTCGTCGCAAGTTTCGGAGCGCATCGGAGTCCGCGTTTTCCGCACGTTTGTTTTCCTGTTGGATGAGCGTTAAAATTCGCCGAACTGAGCGACGGACGATTGTCGGAGTACATCATCTACAGATACCTATATTGAATGAAATCACGATTATTAAGTATTTTTCAATTGCACTTCGACGAGCGTCGATATTTCTAAACAAATTTATTGCTGCTCGATCCACTGCAGCGATTCATTGCAGCCGGTCGAAAGTCTTGATAATTATAAATACACGCTCAAAATGAAACCAAATATTCGATTTACTTACTTAAGTAACTTACTAAGTAACTTACCTAAATAACTTACTAAGATACTTAATTAAAGTCTACGGGGAGATCCTTTGACTAGTCATATTCGAAATACACATTAATCGTCGATGTCGCATTACAGTGAATAGTGCGTGAATGCGTATATACATGATATATATACACACACTCACACACAACACACACACATCTAACCTGAAGCTGCACCTGTGTTCAGTTCACGTATCAATTTTACAATCAAGCCCATATACACAATTAATTACAGTAACGTCGTATTTTCTCACGCCATAGGCTAACAACTACATGTTGATTGTTTTCGTTCTATCACTGTTTGTTTACGCTTTCGGCCCGGTCACCGCGCCCGCCGCGCCCGCCGCGCGGTGAGCGGCGCGCGACGCGCGTCTCTTTTTTTGCTTAGTGAGTCACGTAGCGACATCGCGCGGCCATTGTCCTCGTCGCGAGCTTCGGTTTCGGAATCGCGCGCGATCAGTCCGCGTTTTTTTTACACGTTTTTTCCGTCGAGAGCGAATCCCGCGTACGAACGAGCGTCGAAAGCTCCGAATCGAGCGACAGACAAGTATCGTGGAGTATCGGACATACTGTGTATCGATCGCGATTAATCCGTAATCGGTCCTTAGTCGCCCGGCTGGCCGGCTACCGGCGTACTCCGCTCGGCTCCGTGCGAATTCGCTTGTTTACGGATCGTTCCGTGCGCTTATTAAAACGCGTCGTTAATCGCCCAGATCGCCTCCCGTGTCGCGAAAGCGTGCTTTGAAGGCGTTAATCGACATTAATCGGATTAATTGAGGGGTTTATCTGACACAGCGACGCTCCCCCCCAACTTTCGGAACTTGGGGCCCATCGCGGCGATGACGTCACGCGACGCGCGCGCGAGCCGCGCGAAGTTGGCGGCGCGATAATTGGAACTTGTCGGGGACGCGTGCGGGCTCGCAGCGAGCTTCACGCGGATTCTCGCGGACGCCGGGGGTGCGATGGACGACGATCCGCCTCGCGGCCTCGCGTTCCACGATTTATTTGCTCGTTCGAAGTGCGCGGATTTCGGAACTGCGAGACGCGACTTGACACGGAGATCGGTATCGCGCCTATCGTGCCCATATCGCGTGGACAATCGGCCGTTGATCGTGTGCGCGCGATGAAACGCGTCGGGAGTGCCGCGTATCTACAAAGTGAGGGACGAGATTGTACCGTCGCGGACGCGTCGCGTTTGTGCAATCGCGATCGGTGGTGCCGTCTCGAGCAAGGAGTCTGCACCAAGACTGTCCCTGTGTGTGTGTGTGTACGCAGCTTCCGAGGCCGGTGCGACGGAGCAGCGGACGGACGGACACCCGTGATGATCTAGAGAGGAGGAGAGAGGAAGAGAGAGAGGGAGCGTCATCGACTGGTGAGTAAATCGAATTTATACTCATGCACTTGTGGCTGGCGACCGTAGCGAAGATTTATGCGAGGTCGAAATATAACAGGGTGGGTATACTAATTTCATTTTTGCCCTTGAAAATCATGGATTCTCGTGGAATTTAAATTTAATTTTCCCTGGTACTCAGGGAAATTGTTTGAATTTTTTAAATTTAACTTTATCCCTTTACAAAGTAAACGTGGCTTCATATCGAAGGATGTTGTAAATTAATTTATTTTAAAATTAACATATACTGTATGAAGACTCTTCAGTCTAAAAAATGATAATCCGGAAATAATAAATCAGGCATTAAGAGTCTAATAATGCAGAACTTTGGCGCGTGAAACAATTTAACTTCACATATGTAGTTACATCTCCATACGAAATCTTTCGTTACGTTCGAAAAATTTTGTATGGAGATGCAACTATTGTACATACGAGAAGATTAAATTGTTTCACGAGTTCTATACGTTATTAGAACTCTTAGTGCCTAATTTATTTTAAAGCTGTATTGAGAAATTCTCTAATCTTACCTGGAATTTTGAATAAAATTCCTGGAAAATCCGGGAATTTTCAGGGAATTCTTTTACAAAATTTGAGTACCCACCCTTATAACGTTTATAACCAGTATATCGCACACTTCAATATACTAAATCTCGGTGCTTAGAAAATTTTCTTCCTACTCCGTTCAGATAGCGAGATTATAAATTTAACATTCTATACATTTTTATTTCTATATTTTCGATATTTTAAATGTCCGTGTCCGGTCGGATCTCGCGAGGAAATTCTCGTTTTTTTTTGTTCTCTCTGCTGTATCCGAGTCGCGAAACTCGAATTTCTGTAATTGTCGCTTGATCGATCGATCTTCCTTCTTGCGCGCACGTTCCTTCGTCTTGATCGGTAATGACAACCGCGGGGGATACAGGGAGTAAGTATCCCCCCGGACCAAGAACCGGGGCCCAGAGAGAGAGAGAGAGAGAATCCCCTCGTCGATCCGGCACGTGCGAGCGGAAATGCAGGGGCCGTAGAGACGCAGAAACACGGGAGGCGGTCATTTGACGGTCTGATGGGATATCGCCGACGTGGATCGCCCACCGTCATCCACACGGCCGTTCTTCTCCGTGCCCTCCACATCCTCCTCTTCCTCTCCCCCCCTCCCCCCCTGTTCCCTCCGTCGTCCCTTTTCAGTGGTGGATCCGGCGAACGCGGTGCCTCAAGGCGAAAAATTAATGCGCGATGAAAGCCACTTGAAGTTTTAATTATTCAAGCGATAGATGATAGTTTTGATATTACCTGATTTATTATTGATTTGAGTTTGATTACATTTATTACGTATGATTTGCAAATCAAAACTCTCGTGAGACCATTCTTCTTATTTTCATTGAATATTTCGCATACGTGGAAAAGATGTTATATTAAAAATATTAGATCTAGTTGGAAATAATTTTGTTAATTCGATAATAATATCAGCGAAACAAATAATTATTCTGTTAAGAGCATGACATATACTGTATTAACAACATTATTTTAGATTAAATTAATGCTATGAATAATTATAAATTATTATACGATGTTATTATCAATATTTTTATACAAAAAAAATGCTGTTAATACAATATTATTAATTCTTTTCCATGTAAAAGTATTAATAATAATAACGTAATAATTTACAATTACGTATGAAAGAGATGAGCGTTTTTATTATATCATACATTTACATATACATTTTTGTAGCTTACTCAATACTTTTACATGGAAAAAAAATGTATTAAGTTCATTAGTCTAATCTGAAATAATCTTGTTAATTTAAAACGTCTAAAATGCTTTTAATAAAATAATTATTTGTTCCGTTAATATCATTATCGAATTAACAAAATTATTTCCAATTAGATCTAATATTTTTAATGTAACGTTCTTTTCCACGTATGCAAAATGTTCAATTAAAATAGGAGAGGAATGGTCTCATTTTATTTTTTACGATAAAGTATACGTTTCATAATGCAAGCGCAAATGTTCTCACGCGCGAAGCCCGGATGTATTACGTCGCCTGTCGAGGCATCCGCCACTGCCTCCTCTCGAAGCAGTCCTCGCCGTTCCCCTTCGCTCGCGCGAGAAGAAGCGCCCGGCTGCCTCTCTCTCCTCCCTCCCGCGGTCGATTGCGATTCGCCGGCGTAACGTGGCGCGTTGCGCCCTGTGGTTACTTCAATTAGGTGGAATCATAGTTACGTAGATCGGCGGCTATACGTTGGCGACCGCAGCCGACACAGAAGGCGCGCCTTGGTCACGGAGCCATCGCGGACGTGCCTCCGGACTCCCTTGACATTATCGCTAATCATCTCGAATCGATCGCCGCGGCGTCTACGCCGAGGTATATAGGTGCAGGAATGCGCCGGACGTGCGCTGCCTCTTCGACGTAATGCAGCCGCAGATGCAGGCGCACGATGTAATCCCAGTAATTGATCTATCGGGACGAGAGCGGGCGCCTGGCGCTGACAAAAATCTCCGCGATAATTAGCGATCCACCCCGAGAGTCGCGTTCTTTTTTTTTTCAAATTCACAATTTTGCAGCGTGGCCTAAGCTTTAAAAGTTTACACCTTCCTGGATTTTAACTCTTGATAAATTCCATCGATGCGATGCGGTCTTGTGAAATGAAAAGCGAAAGCTCGTGCGAGATCAGATAAGATGCGACCAAGGCTTTTCTTCTAAATATCTAAGTTGACGCGTCAATCTTCGTCGTTCTTCTCGCGTTGGAATTTTTTATATCTGAACTTTGGAAACACTCCCCCATCCCCCTCCTCTTTTTTTCGCCGAAATTCCTTGGACCGAAATCGAGTCCCGTGATTTCCGAATTCCTCGATCGCACCCCCCTCTCGTGTCCCCCTCCCATCCTTGTATATACGGATCCACGAGTTATTACACGAAAACAGACGAGCTCTCGTAACGACCTAATAAAACGAGCCGCCGGGGCCACCTGGTGGAGCGGTCGCGCCGGCGGGGGCCTCCCGGGCACGTTGACACAACTCATTTTTACGCGGTGTCCCGCGCGCGATGGGCGGCCGCGCTCGTCCTGTGCGCTCGCGCTCGCGCGAGGGCCCGCTGTTTATGCTGCTTTATGCCGGTGCCACGGTCGTGGCCCACCGCTCGCTGGGCTGAGTAATGGCGCGAGATCTGTGCCGTAGTCGCCGAGGGGGTGCCGGGCACACTCTTCTTCTTCTTCTTCGGCCCGGAGCGCGCGAGAGATACCATCGGAACTCGCGCGTAGATTTCTAGTCGCCCGTCGCGACGTCCCGCATACGTGCCATCCCGACGAAATCGTGTGGTGCTCCCTTCCTGCAGGGCCGCACATCCTGCTGGTATCCCTGGTTTGAGAGACCTAGACACGTCGGCTACTCCGCAGCGCCCGCACTCCGTTCGCAATATGTAAAATTCATTTGGAGCGAAAACGTCTCGTGTCTGTGTTAATTTTTAAGGTGGGAGATGCTTTAATTTAGAACGGATTGTACGTTATGTGTATAAGGTCTATAAATATTTCGTTATACGTTATAAAGAATGTCTCTATAACGTTATACTTAATAATTGAAATATTACGTTTATCTTATTCTTGACATGAATATATTTGAACTACAATATTACTAATTTTTATTTTATAATTCATGTATTAGTACATAATATCTTTCGCAATAATAATTTATTTTATTATATTTGCTGTAATTAAATTACAACAGTTTGCTGAGGCAGTTAAATTTAAAAAAAAATTTTGCTGATACATATTTTTACACGGAAAGAACACTTTTGCTGAATCCAGATCTGAAAATAATTTTTGTTCAATAGTCAAAATTATTTTGGGCGAAAGTCAAAATGATTGCTAGAATATCAAAACGTTTTATAACAATACTTATCAGTTTTACTTTTAACATTCCAACAAATTATTTTGATGATTCAATAAAAAATTATTTTCAGATTTGTTTTTAGCAAAATTTTTAGGTCTTTCAACAAAACCATTCTTTCCGTGTATGTCTAACAAAGTTATTAGTTTCGATAAAAAATACAACATGTATAAACTAAATAAAGTTAATTCTTATAAATATTTTAATTGATTTCTTTATTACAGATATAAAGAAACAAGTTTAAAATAATTGCAAGTATATTAAATTTATACATTTTATATTTTTTATCACCTCAGCCGGGAATCGAACCCGGATCTCCTTGCTTGTTGGACAGGCGTCTTAACCATTCGACCACCAAGGTGGTATTCTTCGCAATATGATAAACCGATATGATAAACAATGTAACGTGTCTTTCAGGCAGCGTATATTCAAATAATTTCAAGGACTTAGGCTCGCAAGAATAAATCAAATATATTCTGAAGTAATGCCTATCGAGCCGACACAGATGTTGGTGTGTATTAATTTAATTGTTATGTACAAGTGGATTCCAGCCTCATGTAATGAACTGTGTTGTTTCAAGACCGACGAATATGCAACGTGCAGTTTGCGTGTGGCTGGATGTTGTAAAAAATTAATACACATTAACATCATCCGTATCAACTTGATAGGCATTACTTTAGTATATATTTGATTTATTCTTACGAGCCAAAGTCATTCAAATTATTTATATAATAATCATTTACTTAAAATTGAAATAATTCGATTTGAACGAATAAATTATAAAGTCTTCTTACTTCGGGCTTTCGTGTAACTTAAGGATAATCATTTTCTCGCTGACAAATTTTCACCTAATGGGACAAGGAACTTGTGAGATCTCTATAATGGATACGGAAGTAGTGCAAGGGTGAAATGTTCGTACAATTCGCGCAATTGCATTTTCCGCCGCCGGCGAATCGTGATTTATCTCCACCGCCCTCCGTTTTTCTTTCGTTTTTCTTCGAAGACGCTTCGCGTCCGCCGCGTCCTCGCGCTCGAAAGTTCCGGTCCGCCGCTCGTAAATCATGCGAAAATAGAGCGAGAGAGAGAGAGAGAGAGAGAGAGAGAGAGCGGAAGAGAGTGGAAGAGAGCGGAGGGGAAACTTTCAGCGAGAGCTTTAGTTTCCGCGCGAAACTTGCGTGATTGCCGCTAAATATTCGTATTTTGCAACCGAGTTATCTCGACGCAATTTCCACGCGGGATCGATCATTACCGCCGACAGCGCTCCGCTGCAACGTTGGCGGTAATGATCGATTTCGCGGTGGAGATGAAAACGAAATAGCTGGATTGTGGATTGCGAATTACTGGCATTACTCTGAGTCTTGTTTTCAAATCACTGCAATCATCGCAAGTACGAGAATGTCGTTTTTCCCAGCGTCAAATTTTCAGCATTTTTTCGATACGTGGATTAAAATATCTAACATTAAAAATCGTTTGCAAAAATCGTTGTGAGATGTTAGAAAGGGAAATTTTTTAAAATAAAATTTAACAAATTGAAGAATATAGGCTCACAAGATTATAAATAAATACAAACGGAATTTTTTTTATCAAATACTTATGAAGTTGACAAGAAGTCTTTCATATAAATATAGGTGGATGGTTTTCGGAGGGACGTGACGTGCGATCAAAATTAACGTTTCGATAATCTTTGCGAATGAAGTTGTCGATATTCCTACTGTCCCTCTCTCCCGCGCCTCCCCTGTTTTTCTGTTTTCCCTCTTTTCCCTCCCGGAGTGGCGACGGCCGCTCGCGCGCGCGAGTACCGGTTCTATAACGACTAATAAAGGTTTAATGAATTCACTGGTCCCTCTGTAATTCCGCTCTGTCGCGCTACCTAATTAATACGGAATCCGAGGTAAGTCGACGAGGGTGTATTCGAGAGCGAGATGCAATTATCGTGATAAAGTCGCCCATAAATTTCTTGCGAGTGATTTTATGACTTTATCGATTCGTACGCGAGAAAAATCTTGCTCTTTTCGCAAGCCGGTAAATAGAACGTTTCGCACAGTACGATAGCATCGAACGTTCCTTGGTAGTAATAATAATTAATTTAATACGCGCTTCGCTACTCTCAGACGCGTTATTATATATATCGAAAGATAAAAGACCATCTAAAGATTTTCAGTAACTAATAAGTTACTGCGCTCGGGATACGACCAAAGAGAATTATATATCGATAACATTATGATATAGGTTCGATCAGAAGGAGCCGTTTAAAAATATGTTGCATTTTTCATTCTCTAATGACCGCAAATATCGCAGAAAAATCTTCGCGCACTGTGAAATCTTAATGAACTAATCGAAATTCATGAAAACTTTTTGATGCTTTTCAATGTGCTTTTTAAATGTGACGTATAATATTGGTCATTTAGATATTTTCCTATCCGCGCATTTTAACATTAATTTATAATCTTCTATAAAATTTATTTTGAAGCGCAAGCAGGAGTAAATATCCTCCATTATAAATCGAAATATTCGATATAAGTACATTAACATTTATACAAAGCGTTGTCTTTGTATAAAATTTGATTTCTACACTAACTTTTTTTTTATTCAAATGCTTTTCATCGCTGTCATTAAGCTAAGGATCTAATCTAGTTGAATGTTTATACTTGCAATAAATTTCAAGGCACCTTAGAGATTTTTCTTCCCGTCACAATCTGATCTGTACGGAATACGCGACATGTAATTTACACAGAGTAAGACTCAGGACTTACTTCGTCAAAAGGGTAATAAGATTCTCGCGCGATATAGACTAAGCTCTTCTCGAGAGAGCCACTCGGGAAAGGACGCGCTCCCGCATGCAAAAGGTACATACGTATATATGCGTGTATGTGCGACGGGTATAACACATCCGACCGTAATTATTCTTACGCACGCGAGCGAAGAATTGCGTGCAAATTTGTTGTGTGAACAGGGGTCCCGCGCCCGCGAGAGAACATACGTTTTACCGCAGAAAAGATCTCCTTAGATATCTCTCTCTTTCTCTCTTTGTCTGCCTGCTGCAGAGACCGATAACGAACCGAATCGCCTTACTTTTACGCTTACGCGGTCGCGCCGTTAACGAACGACTGGGACTGCTCGTAAATTTCACGCTTCGCACACGAGCGAGAATTATTCATACGCTTTTCATAATTTTCCATGCGAAATGTAATTAACATCTGAGCGATCTTGGCACTAAACTATATCGTTCGAAGTCGCGCCAAGAACTTGGACGCGGACTGCAAAACAAATTACTGTTTCGACAGAAAAAAAATGGCGCGATTGAATTATATGCATATTAAGTCGACCACTTGCAGAGATTATCGGGCAATATCTATCGATTAAATAAATTTTGCATTTATATTTTCTTGAGAATAGATTAGCATGTCGAATAGACGACTCAATAATGTATGACGATTGAAATTAAATGAATTAAATAAATAATGTATTAGATATCTTCTACACTCTCCTCGATTAATAATAGATATCTACTGTATTTTTCTGTATTAATAACAGATATCCACTAGACATTTTTCTGTATTATTATAATAACACCTTAAATACAATGGAGGGAGAAAAAATTTTTCTCTCTAAATTACCTACAAGTAAGAACGACGAGTAATAAAATGATAATAATGACGAAATTAAGTATAGAATAACGATGAATAAAATATATTTATAAATGGGAAAATGATCATTGAATAAAATAGTACATTACAATATATAAAATATATTTTTGTAATAATACACAACAATTCTCGTACGTATGCACTTTTGGAGCACATTGTGCCCGTTACTTATTTGCAGCGTTTGCTCGTTTTGAGAGAAATCGAGCGGACATGAGAGACACCCGGTTTCAGAATGGACACACGATATTACATTGGTGAACCGTATGCCGCGCGATGCATCACGAGCGATACAGGACTCCGAAAGCTGCCTCTTAAAGCATCCTGCTTTTCGTCAAACGACTTTTCTTCTGACACGCGTTCTAAATATATTTTTCCCTCGGATTGAGACATCTTGAGTGTTATATCTCGTGTATTTCATACATATGAAATCGTGAAGAAAATGATTTAAAGTTTTGAAAAATATTAAAATAGAATAAAATATTTTTTGGATTATTATGTGCTTAATTAACAAAAATAGTAAAAATATTTGAATAAAAAGATCAATGTAAAAATTAAATTTTATTTGTAAAGAAAGCAAAAGTTAAAATTAATTAAGTTTTCGCCACACATACTAATTTTAAAATGAAATTAAACGTAAAAAGCAAAAAAATATCTTTAAATTCACAAATATTCTCACCGTGAAGATTAATCTTTATCTAGATAATTTTATATTTATAACATTTTTATAAATAAATTAAAAATGTTTTAAATATTGATCCTATTTATATAATCAAAATCTCAATTACTTTTATTTATCTCAAATATCTTCCTAAAATAATTCACGCGCGGTAAAAATTGCTCTCTCTCTCTCTTTCAAGAAAGTGAAAAAGTTGCCCAGATAAGAATCGAGAACTGCTCTAGATTGGACTTTACAAATTGCGGCGAAATTTAATCTCCATTAGTCCCGGTGAATCCCGCGCCCGCTATTCGAGGGGCCCACTTGGTCGCAGCGCTTTTATTTCTCGATCAGTCAGGATCGGGGCCTTCAAGTGATGCGGACCCCCCGCGGTTTTCTCCCATCGAAAATCCAGATCTGGACGACGACGACGAGCGATTCGTTGTCAGCCAGCTTACGCGCGCGCGCGACCGTGTCCGTGGAAGCGTTCGACCGGGGCACACGCGTGTGCGTGCGATCGGCAACGGTGATCAATCACCTTCAAACCGCGGTCGTACAATGCGTGTCGCGCCACCAGAATCTGGTCGCCTGAGAGAGAGCTATTGTTGCCACCCACGTTGTCTCTCGAGCCCTATGTCGAGGACTGAGCGCTCGTTCGTAACCTTCAGGGTAATTCAGGATTGCAGTTTCGATAGATGATGCAGCCCTCGCGATCTGCCCGAGATATCTGTAAGATAACGTCGCGAAGCGTCTAACGAAGAACGCGTGTTCCAAGTGAATTTCCGATTCGTGCGCGTGCGTGAATTTAACTCTTTTGGAAGCAGGACATATAAAAGTTATGATTAAGTTATACGATATTTGTCTATATGTATGGATGTCTCTGTACACATATGATTAATTTATTAACAGTTATGAAATTAATATCGAAATTTAAGTTGCATTTCCAATAAAATCAAGCTAAAGTAATATTTTATTTCATAGTGTTTTTTAAATCGTTACAGCAAACAGTATATTAATGTTTTATTTACTGCAACGAATAAATTATAAACTTCCAAGATT